CCCCGGCCACAGCCCCCCAGCCCAGCCCCAGCCCTGCCATCCCGAGGGGCTCTGTCCTGTGAGATCAGGGTGAGCAGGGGCTTTCCTGGGGCTGTTCCAGAGCTGCATCTGCTGCAAAACACACGCATCGCTCTGCCGCGCAGCTCTGTACATCAACAGGAACATGCGCTAAGTAACACCGTGCTCATTTGGGACTTCAGGCCATAACCAGTCCTACCACCCTACCTCACATTCCTATTTGCAGTGAGCATATCCCTCTAATTAGCCCTCCTTCCCCTGCTAATCAAGAACTCCACCACCCCACATGCTACTCGGCTCGTTTTCAAACCCCACGGTCAGGCACAGCTTCACCAGGCACGCTGGCACCCAGCTTCTGCCGAGCAGTTTGGCACATGGCACCAAACCCCCCAAGTCCACAGCCTGCGCGGACCGAGCTAACGCGAAATGAAAAAGCAGACCACCCCAGGCACTCTCTCCCTTCAGCGACCCCTGCATCTCCCTGGTACCGTCCATCCCCTTCCCAGCGCTCGCAGCAGCCTCCACTACGCTGGCTCCTTTACACGCTCACCAAATCGGTGCTGCACGCCCAGCCAGGAACTCTCACCGGCTCTTTCGCTTTTGAGCAGAGTAAGGTGCCAGGGCCAGGGTTGTGAAACGGGTCAGCTCAGAGGATCCTGGATCCTCCGCTTTCATTCTTGATGTCTGCACGTACAAACACTTACCAACAAGTCACGGGAAGAGGACGGACCCCACGGTTCTGCGGCTAGCAGGGGAAGGTGGCTGGGGGCCGGGGGGCGCGGCTGCGGCGGGTCCTAGTGACACCCGGGGGCTCCCCTGGGTGGGAGCACATCATCTGACCGAGGAGACTCCATTCATTCCCGGGAAAACGGGTTAATGCAGACTCGGATGTCTTAGTCAGACTGACTGGCTGCTCTCCAGCCAGAGTCACCACAAAGACCCAATTCAAAGGCTCTTCCTATCTGGCTTCAGCATCTTGCAAAGAGAACAGAAAACATCTCACAGAAGGAGATTCTGCCAAAATATGGGAAACGAAGCAGAGGGCACAAATTCTCTGTGTCATGTCTCCAGTCTGCTCCACAGCCTGGCCCCAGCCTCTCTCTCCCTGGTGTAAATCAGGAAGGATCTACTCGGGTGATGCCAGTCAGTGGAGGCACAGCAGAAATGGAGAGGGACCCCTCGCTGACAGAGCACCATTGTGAGGAGTCCTCATTTGTATTTCACGCCTTCTGCTGAGGGATGCGAATGACCCGGAGGAGCTCTGCAGGCTGGCAAGTGAAGGCAGGCTTTGTGCCCGAGGCGATGCCCAGAGGACGCAGCCCAGCGGGACCCAGGCCAGCGGTGTGGTGCAGGCTCCTGTCCGAAAAGCATCGGAGGTCGGGAAAAGCAAGGATTTGGAGTGGGCTGGGGCTCACTCCGAAACTCGCACCTGCTCAAGGCCGCAGGACAGTATCGGAGCAAGTGTCACCTCCCCGAGCATCTCCTGTCAGCGTGGGCCACCTGCAAAGGCGTTGGGGTGCAAAGCGCTCCCCTGCAAGCTCCTGCGTGTGAGTACTTCTGCCGAGCCGCGGCAGAGCCCTCTTCTCACCGAGGTGCCCCCAACACCTTTGTAGCTCCTGTTCCTCATAAAAAACAAAACCCACAGCCAAACCACAAAGACCTCCAAGCCACCTAAACCAAATCCCTACCCTCTGCCACCTCTTAACTGCATCTGAGCAGTGTCCTGCCACGGTCACTGCCCAACGCTTCCACCCCGAGTACCCTGCCCCGTCAGCAGGGACCGAGGAAGGGCTGTAAGCTGCCAGGCGGATCTGTGTCAGCGCTCAGAGCTCCCTGCTGCCGGGGCTACGGCACCAAGCGTGCCGAGACACGTGCCTGCCAGCCGGGCACCGGCCAGCTCTGGAGCAGGAGACAGGGTACACGACCCATGGGCAGGACCCGCGGCACGGCTCTCCGGGCAGAGCGCGCTCCAGGCTGTAGGCAAAGTAATCCTTACGCACCTTAAGGTCTATCCGAGAAGAAAACAGCCTGAAGGACACTTTAAAACTGTAATCTTAACATTTGCAGACCATTGCCCTCTTGACTTAAGTGTTCCATAAACACAGAGGGGAAAATAAGCTTGACCTTGTCCCCATGACTCCTTTCTAAATATGTGCTGGCCTTATTGTTAATGCAGACAGATCAATCAGGAGGGAGTTTTTTTTCTCAGCCCTGGGCACGTCCACGTGCTCGTAACACCGAAGCTTGCTGCAAAACCTGCCGGCCAGGCGGCTTTCCCCGGTGGGGACACGCGGGCGGCTTCGTCAGCACGAGAGCAATGGCTTCGCCGTGCTCACGCTGCTGCGGCTCCTCAGAGGCGTTCTGCACACACAGCCGTGCCGGGGGATTCTGAAGGGCAGGATAGTGATCAAGGATCTTTTCTCAAATCCTGTATTTATTAAACGTCAAAGACTCCAGATGGGCTGGGCTGAATCCAAGCCCCAAGCGTTCTCCAAAACATCTCCATTTCTGAGCTGGTTCAGAGCCAGCCCCATTTCAAGCTGCTGCTGAATAATGTGGAACCTGGACTTCTTGATAGCAGACAAGGGAAAAATAATCTTTTCTGCTCAACATGTGCAGTATTTGCTTTTTATAGTTTGTTTCTTTAAAAGTTTGGTCCACCTGAAAGACTCATTAGATACTTTATTTAAATATTTCGTAACAAAAGCCCTCTGACTATAGTCAAGTTCTGACTGCCGGGCCCCGCTGCTCTCTCTCCCCTCCTGCTCTAACACACACTTATCTGAAGAAAGTATTTCATTCTCAGTAGCACTGAATGAACAAAGGGGAGAGAATGAACAAAGAGAGAAAGAAGCAAGGAGTATCTCCTGATGATCGGTCGAAACAAGCACTCCTTGCTCAGGATGGAGTCAGTGCTGGAATTAGGCCAGAAGAGAACCCAAAGAATTCAGGAAAAGGTTTTGGAGCCTCTCCTGATTGAAAAATCAGACTAAAAGTCACAGCACGGACTCTCTCGCGCCAGCAGCTGAAAGCCAATATTAAACGGGGAAGTTTCTGAAAGCATGAAGTCGAAACATAGGACAACAATTGTCTACTTTTTAAAAACAACAAAGGACAGGAGAAAAAATGGAATTCAAACATAGTAATAGAAAACAAAACTGTTTAAATTTAAAACAAAGAAACAAGCAAGTCTTACCTTGGTGAACCCTATTTGCTCCTTCCGAAAGTTTTCCAACGGTTTGATGAGCAAATCACTAGCATTCTGTACCTAGAGTGCAAAGAAAGAAACAGTTTAATTACAGGACACTGATGAAGTTTCTCCTAAATAGAGGCTGAACAGGGCTAGAAGCCAAGAACTCTGTGATTTTATGTCTCTGACTGCAAACTTGTTCTCTTGCCTATAAGTGAAGTCACTTAACCCATCCGTACCCACTTTTCCCCATCGGTAATACACAGAAAACCCCAACCACGGCACACGAGGCTTTGGGGACATCCCGCAGCTGACAGCTGGGTTTCCCCCAGCCTGCCACCTTCCCTGCAGGGCTCTGCGGTGAGCCATTGCCCTCTGCCCCAACCGTTGCGTTATTCCCATCAAAGCCTGGGCACCAGCCTGCCGGAGCAGCAGCCCTCTGGGACACCTGTCCCCCCATGGTCCCAGCTGTGCCAAGGCAGGCGTTGTCCCTGTCGGTCTCTCCAGCCTCGGAATAAAGCTAGGACAGACCCTCACAGGCCTGTACTATGCTTCCCCGAACAGACCCAGCCACCCAGCCCAGCCCTGTGCTGGGCCCCCGGCACGCTGGAGCGAGTTCCCGGGAAGCATGGCATGACAGCACCTGCCATCCATCCCGTTTTAAGAGAACCGCTGCGCCTATCGGACACGGGAAGGGCTGAGAGAACTGATGGTCAAAGCATGCTGTCTGCTGGGTGAGCCCTCACCAGGAGCAGCCCCAGGAGACAAGGCTGTTTGTTTGGCTCTCCAAGAAGCACAAACCAGAACTAAATATATCCTCAAAGCACACTGGAGTCTGCTACTTACTTGTCAACTCAGCTGGGTCCCTGCTGTAGCGAGCTGCCCTGCCTGCTCTAACTGGAGGGAAGGGAGCGGAGAAGATGTGCCGCTGCGGCTGGCTCCCCTCTGCCACCGGGGCGGCCCCCCCCTCTTCCTGGCCATGCTCGCTCATGCTGCCCGGGCACACCGCCGCGCCAGCCCTGCCTTCCACCACAGCATCCACCCTTGTCTTTAATGTAAAGCTGCTAGCAGCAAACACGGCAGATGCTCACGCTGTCGAGTGTGCTGCCAGAAAGTGCTGCCGCGGTCCTGAAAGGAGCTGTTTTCCAACGCTCAACAACCCACAAGAGCTCAGCAAGGCCACGATGGGCAGGAGGTGCTTCTCAGAGAAGGGGTGATGACGGCCCCAAGCTCACGCGAGCAGAAGGCAGGGCTGGGGCTGGCTCCCTGCCATCACTTTCTCAGGGTCTGGCAGTTCTCACCACAGACAGCACCGGGCTCGATGGCGCTAACAACACAGCTCTCAAATAAATGATGGACTTTCCTTCTCCTGAGATCCAGCCAGAAGAGGAAGGACAGCAGGTTATCTGTCACGGCGAGAGAATAACAGTAACAGCTAGGGAAAAAGAAAAGCCTGCCCATGTCTCTTCCAGTCCTGTCAGATGTCTGAAAGATGCTTTCCTGGGACATGCTCTGTGCTCCCTCTCCAGGAATCCACAGCCAAACTCACCCCAGTTTGTACCACTGGTTCCAGCTCCACCCTGGCACTGGGACACGACCTGCCGTCTCTTCCCATCCCCACTTCTACTGCCACAGGTTCTCTCCTGAGCTCCAGAGAAGGGAGAGGGGAAGAGAAGGGGATACAACACTACATTGCCACAGCCCTTTCAGGTAGTTTAAAGCTGATGAACATGGTAAGAGTGTGAGACTTTCTGAGTGGGCTACTGTAAAGAACTGGTCCTACAAGTAGAGGGTGAGGAAAAAAAGAAAAAATAAAAAAATTTAGAAAACTTGGACGGCATCCCTAAAAGCATCCACGATCCTGGAAATGATCCCTTCCACTTACCCACTGCCAAAGGAGCCATTGTACCTGGTTGTAAACTAATAAATATCTTACTGGTTTCCTCCAGCCTTCTACTGGTTTCCTCCCGTTCCCTGCCTGCCTGCGGACCCGCAGAGTGGACGGTGACATCCCACCGGCACAGCCACCCCTGCGGCGCTGGCCCAGCCAGCAGCCTGGCACGAGCTCTCACTGCTGCACGAGGCAGAGGAAAGCAGAGCCAAGCAGCACATTCCTGGCATGCTGTAAAAGCCCTCTACCGAGCCTAACCTTCGTGTTTTTCCTGGAATTAGGAGCAAAACGGCAAGCCAACACTCGTGCTGGAGGAGCTCCGGAGAGGCAGAGGGCACAACGCAGCAGGAGACCGAAGGCAGCACGTAGCCCTGTGGGAGCCCTGCTGGCAAGGGCAGGGGCACAGGGGGACCTGCCTGCTCGCACCCAGCAAAAACAAAGCTAAAAACACATCTTTCTTCTTATTCTTTAACACTTTGTTTCACCACAAAACCAGCTTGTTACCAGCTCAGACACAACCTGGCTCTGCAGAGCAAACCTGCTGCAGACGGCAGGGTCCTGGTGCTCCATGAGTGCCTGGCACGCAGGAGAGATTTCGGACACTGCGTGGGCCAACCTCTCCCCCTCCCTGTCCAGCACCTCCCCTTTGCTGCTCAGGGCCTACGGCGATGGCACTGTGGACCAGACGTGGTACAAAGCACAACGTTCCCAGTGCTCCAAGCCTTCCTTCGATGGGAAGCTTCACACCAAGGTATGTGGTGCCGTTTGGCAGCGATTTAGCATTTAAACATTGTGATGAGGCAGTAATTAGCAGAGCACAGTTCAGATCGTCTTACCATCATGGACCTCTCCAGCTCTACCTCGTGGAGCAGCTCTGCAAACTCCTTAAAGGACTCGGCTGTAAAGAAAAGAAAAGGCTGGTCAGCGGAGCTGGGAAGTGGCACCCAAGCACGGGACACACACCAGGGTACCCGAATCTGGCTGCACCCCCAGCATCGCCATCTAAAGGCTTGCCAAAACTGGCAGAAGAGGTGGCCCCTTTTGGCAGAAACTGAGTGCGGCAATGCCATCAGTAAAGGCTGGCCACGAGGGGTATTTGCTTACACGCTGGAGAGGAAGGCCTCCTGCCTGGAGCAAGGAGGGAGATAACACCCTGGGAAGGGAAGACAAGGTTAATTAGCTTTCCTCAGGAATGGTACTACAAAGCTGGTAAGGTAGGCGGCAGGGAAGGGGCAAACGAGGGGAAGGGGCAGCCGCTGGCACCAGGGACCGCAGCGGGATGGGCTCTGCCGCAGCAGGGCTGTGGGCAGGACGGGGCTGCCTGTCCTGCCTGGACGGCTGCCGGCAGTGCCGCAACGGGCCCAGCACCTCTGCCCAAGGTGGGAAAAGCTGCAGGTGTTTTCTAGGACCAAGACAAGTCTGTAAAATGACAACAGCCCAGAATTGACAAAGATTATGTTCAGTGACAAGAAGCACAAAGTCCATGTACCTGCAAAGGAAGGGCAGCAGGTGTAGAAATGGTCATAGATGTTGACACCACTCCTCAAAATGTTAAAAATTAAACAAAAATACCTCACTGATCAGCACTTTTCTTGGAGTCCAACACAAATAATGTGAAACCTTCCCTTTAACAAACTGAAACAACAAGGCTTGTTTAGCCTGGGGATAAAAGAGACTAGGTAGGAGTAGCTGACTCTCCCCACACCAACAGGGTTATCACCAAGAGGGAACACTCAGCCCTTCTTCTCTCTGCCCACCAAAGGAGAACATGGGAAGGAGCTGAATTTGTAGTCGAGGAGAAAACCTCTCCCACCAGAAGAGCACTAACCGCACTGAAACGAGGAGCACTGCAAAAGTCTCGGTTCTCCGGGAGGCTGGAAGGCAAGGCTGGGCAAACACCTGCCTACGCACAGAGCGTGGGTGCGTGCTGAATGCCTGCGGGGCGGTGTACGTGGGAACTACCTGGGTGTCAGCTGGGAAAGGCTCCCCCAGTGCTGTTCATCACCTCCCAGCCGCGGGAGCAGCACCCTGCTCGGAGCAGTGCCGGGGACAGGTCCGGTGGGCCACGCGCTCACCCTTGCACCGCTGTGCCTGAAGTACAGAACGGCTTTGTAAAACCTACAGAGCTCCTGTGCTTGCAGTTCAGATTCTGCACTTGCTGCGAGGCACTTGACTGCTGCTGAGCAATTTAAAGTCTTTCTGAGAATGAAGCAAAGATCCTCAGAGGCACCTGGCTGACACCAGAGCTCTTGAGCAGCGTGGTATCCAGAGCTCTGGCACGCTCGGCTTGGCAGGGCTAACACACCGGGCGTATAGCGAGGCAGGTACAGGAATAGTTCAGATAAGAGGAGAGGATGCATTTGTGCTCTATCTGCAAGCTGAGGGCCCTCTCCCCTCATCCACAGGCAGTACCTTAGGAGAAGTCCTTCTAAAAACCAGCCGTGATGCTGCTGCACAGCCAGCGAGTACGAGGCTTCCAGTGTTAGAGGGTTCACCCTGCAGTTGCTGAGACAGACACAAAAGGGAAAAACCACAGCCTCGTGACACAGTGCCTCAGCTGGCATCATCAAAACATAACCTTCTTGATGAGTCAGTAACTTCTGAGTTCTCTTTCAGAGCGAGGGCTTCAGAGCCCGGCACATGCAATGTCCTAATAGTTTATTACACTCGACCACAGGGCCAACATGCTGACTTTCACTGTGGTTACTCAGGACGATGTGAAACCTGAAGTGCACACAGATACCGGGACCCCGAGCCAGGAAAGGAATTATTACAGGGAGAAAGAGATTCCAGCCCTGAACTTACAGGGAAAATGTCAGTGCCTAAAATTTTCACTAGATGCTTTTTTTTTTCTTGCTCTGCAGGAAGAGTCCAAGCACACATTTCCTGGCTGCAGTCGCAGAGCAACCCACGGAATTTGTCCTTGCACCACAAACACGTGGCTCAGGCTACACCCTGCTGCCAGACCCGCAGCATCCAGGAGTACCGGGGTGGACCCACGCTACTGCCCTGGGTCAGTGCTTGCAAACCCTTGCAGAGCAGAGCAAAGCTGCCTGCAACCGCTGCCTGCCAAGCCACACCTGAGAACTGCCTGGGAGTGACTCAGCTGGCCCGGCCAGAAGCATGCCAGGAACGTCAGCTGCGTAAACCCAGAGGATTTCAGGGTCTGGTGCCTGGGAGGGAGGAACACGCCGTCTGATTTCATTGCCCCCTTCATCTCTGAACGAGCTGCTGATTCGGGTCCCGTGCAGGCGACCGGTGGAGGGCCCGCAGCCACTGTGTAACACGGGCGCATCTGTAACTATTAATGTCCCTGGGGGAAAGCGCTGCTCATGACAGACAACATCAACCCAGCATCTGTGTCCTGACCAGTGTTCAAAGCCACCACCCGACGTGCAGGGGTGTTAGCCTGCAGTCGGCCTCCGTAAAAAGGAAGTGTGCCATTTGTTATATTTACAGATCAAACACATTCCCTGAAGTACGATAAGAAGTGCTTGGGAATGTTTTACTTCATTCCCATATCCTGCACATCAGATGGGCTCCTACGCTCCCACGCAGATCACTGGCACCCTTGCAGGAGATGGAAGCTGCTACGGAGATGTCAACGCCCTGCTGCTGTTTCAGGAATAAGGGAGCCTTGCAAAGCGGCTCAGCCCCAGCAGGCACTGCAGGGTTTGGTGTGGGAGGAGGAACACAGCACAGGCTTTTTCACAGGGGAAACCAGGGACCTCTTCTTGAAAAAGCAAGACAAATATTCCCCAACAAAAACAGAAGTAGGGAAACGCATTTGTTTCACCACAGAATGTTTTACTTTTGCTGTGATCTCTTCTTGCTCTCCTCCGCCCACAATCCCCCCATTCAACCTCAGCCATTTCCAGCAGTCTTCCTCGCCCGCGGAGTGCCGCAGCCCTACCACACCGGCTC